TTAACAAGAATCAAGATAAGGAAACACGACTATCCATCCTCACCTCATTCAGGAAGCTCCTATCTCCTTTCTGAAGAGACTCCTACTTGATGGCGATGATTGACAACTTCTTGGGTTGGATTCAGATTACAAGAAGCCAATATCAGTCGGTATCAAAGCTATGAGTATTTGCCAGACTCTAGCGAAAATTATCGAAAATAGTTGGACATTGTACGTATATAAAATGAACGTAGTAAAATACAAATATAATAAATATAAATCTACATATATGTAATATGATACGTATAAAATTAAAACACGCCGCAATCACCGGTTATTATAATTATCAACATCGTTCGTATTTTCTAGGAAACTCGACAGTCAAATTTAGCAGTTTTTGCTCAAACTCCAAGGACTTTTCCTGTTGAACAGGCAAGCCTCTCTATCGTCAATTTGCGTACAAAGAGAAAGTGCCACCGGAAGAGGCGACGAGCGGATTTCCCATAGAAGCTTCCCTTTCGGGAAACTGGCACACGTCAGGAGGAAGGTCTGTGGATCCTTTCACCGATACCCTGAAAACAGCATAGACCGTGGGCATTGTTTCGCTTTTAACCCTTTTGACAACGCCTCAGAGCTTCTGTTAGAAGAGGACTTATCCGCGCATGCAAGATATTCTAATTGCCGTGACGAAACTAAGAAGTCGATAGAAAGAACTGTCGTTCCACCTTAACACGTGACCTTTTCTTCACGATTCTTCATTTTTCGTTTCGCCGTCAATGGCCTTCTGAACTGTCAAAATGGAAATTTAATCCTTTAATTAAATCCTGGCTTTCGAAGCGTCAGAGTGGAAACTTAATCCTTCGTGACAAAGTTAAAATGGAATAAAGTGTTAGATTATAATTAAAATAATATATTATATATAATAAATAGCTAGGTATTGGAATAAGGTGTTAGATTATAATTAAAATGGAATAAAGTGTTAGATTATAATTAAAATGGAATAAAGTGTTAGATTATAATTAAAATAATATATTATATATAATAAATAGCTAGATATTAATCGTGTTTCCAACAATGATGATCATTTTGCCAAAATATTTTGCCTATTAGCAAAAACAACACTTTCGAAATTTGAAAGCTGCCTGCCAACTTTGAATTTAAATTTAAATTTACATCACATTTCGAATTCAAATTGAAATTCAGATTTAGTGTCTTGACAGTTTGAACTTTGGACAATTAACCTCCGTTTTAGTTACACTATCCATCTCGTTAATATTCAAAACGTAATATTAAAATTCAACAGATTTTATTAAAAGTTACATTATGTACAAATTATTATTATTATATTATTAAATGCAGTCATTACATTTGTTTCAAATTGAAAGAAATTATGGTTAAACCATGTTGTAACAATTTAATACGACAAAGAAGGTGTACACTACATATATAATTAACATGATAGTATATTTGCATCTTTTATCAAAAAATTTTCAAATTCATAGTCAAACATATGAATCAAATATCTATTAATAAATAAGAATTCCAAGATTTTCGAACGTACACCGAACGAAATGCATCCTGAAAGAATTAAAAAACTACCCCATGTGGTTTCATAAACCATATGTCCAATTAGGCCAAGGCCTCTAAAGAAAGTGTATAATTATTATTGGCAGCGTTACAACGCGAAAATAGACCTGGAACAACGGCGAAAATTGCACGCGTGATTCCAGGTTCTACTTCTAATTAGTTACAGATAAATATCAGCTGGACGTCCGCAAATGGCGTGTTCCTGCAACTACGTCTCGAGAGCTCGTCAGTCAAATACGTCAGCGGATGTTATCGTGCCAGCGTAATAACCTTTGTGTCTAGGAACTATGATGCTCTCGAAACGTCAAAAGAAGAGAAACGCGATTTGGTGCAACGATATCTTCCTCCTCTAGCAATTCGAACGCCTTCGTTTGCTGGAGAACACTTGCTCGTCTTAACTATTTCCTGGTATTGATCCATTTAACATATTATATATAAATATATAAATCATTCAAGCATCTTTATGATTTTAAATGAAAATCAATCTTGTTCCAGCGAACATTCTGGAGAACATTCCTTGGAGTGCGTGAAACCATTTGTCTTATTGAAATCGAATTAAAAATTTGCCATGAGTAATCAAAATATAAAATGGACCTCTTCTGTAACAATATCCCGAATTGAGGATATTCAAAGGCAGGGAAAATTGATAATGCACTAAGCATTGTTTAATGAAAATATATCTTCAAAATTTACTTACAACTCGAAGATTAATCCCCTAGCACGCGCATGCATGACCATAATGAATAAATATAAAAGAAATATCAAAATAAATAGAAAACACCGAATCGTAAAAAGCGATCTGCAAGTAATTGGCTAAAATCGTAATTAAAAAAAAAAAAAAAAAGAAAATAGAAAAACACCAATTACCAAAGAGCAATCTACAAGTGCATAGCTACAATTAAATAATCTCCTATGATGAGCTGCGTAGCGCGTTTCAGGTCTACCGCGACGTAGATAAGGATCTCTTTTCCGACTAACCGGCGCATTAGATCGTCAAGAGGTGTGCCAGGTATCCAGGAAGCGTTGGAGAAGCATGTACCCGATACCACAGCCACATAAGATATTGTTCTCTCGATGAAATTAATAGTGGCCATAAGCCCCCGCCGCGTAGCATTAATCCTCGCGGTATTAGTGACACTCTGTGGAACGAGAGCGGGGGTTGGGAAGGGGTTGCGCGGACGGAACTCGAGAAGAGAGCTCGGCTGATTCTCAGCAGAAGGAGACACGAAGAGATTCGTGTTAGAAGGTTCTGAGCAACGACCGGGGGCAGGATATTACGTTCGCCGGTTGAAGCGGAAGAAAACGAACGAACGAACGAAGAAAAGGAAAAAAGATAGAAAGAAAGAAAGAAGAAGAAGAAGAAGAAGAAGAAGACAAGAGAAGGTGGTTGGGAAGGCACGGTTCGAAGAGACTCTTCAACTTGTCCACGAAAGGAAGATTTGTGCGACTCCTCGCCTCTTCGCTCCACCACTGCCACAACTACCACCCCTTTCGCTACACGGTTCGTGGATCTGAAATAAATGGTTATCGTGGATTACCCCCGGATGCTGACACGTCATAATGGCGGGGATTCGCCTTAACCCAGTGGCGTGTCATTGGAGAACGATATTTCTTCATCTGTCGGTCATTATCGCGCGATTAATGCCCGGCGACGTTACCAGGCTTCCGCGTCTCGTGAACGTCGCTCGAGGTGATCACCTTCTGGGAAATACACGGCAGGCTGAAGATAGGGACGTTTTCGGTTCGACTTTCGGACAGGTGAGTGCCATCTGATGACTTCGAATTGATTTGGCGCTTTGGCATTGGGAATTTTTGGTACTGTGACTGGTGTATTTTTTTCATTTTGACATGTTCATGCGTTAAGAAATTGAAGGATCTGTAGCAATAACGAAATTAACAGTTTTGTAATTATCCGGAGAGAAAAGAAGATGTCGACTTCTTAGAGGATAAAAATAGGAAATATTTTTTAAATTATTTTTCCGAAAATATAATCCGCTCTCCTTGCCATTCTCAGCGTTCTAACGGTCGATACCCACAAATATCCCACATTTCAGAGCTTCAATTATCAAACGATCGGTAGATTGAACGACACAACAAATGTTACGACTGGCAAGTATAAGAGAGAACGTTGCACTTTATTGCGAACACAGCGGCTGGCCATCGAATCGCAAAAAAAAGTACAAGATCCGGCTGACTCGGTCGTGGTAGATATGCATCCAACCTGTAAACGTTTTTTTCCGCCGCGAGTACAAAGGTTAACGTGCAACCCGGTAGTACCAGGAGAACGCCAGGGATCACGACAGCTGATGGGGACAGAGCTCGAGGGACGATCAATAATATAATACCCCGTCGCCCCGGGTACCACCATACTCTATCGTACCATCGAAACCTGGCCCGGCTTTCATGCGCTCCGATCCCCTTATCGTTCGTCTTTTCGTGAACGTATTTCGTATTTTTCCTTTTCTTTTTCTCCTTTTTTTTCAGGCCGACCATGAACGCATTTGTTGACACCCTTCTACGTCGTCGATGACGACGACGACAATGACAAGGAAGAGTCGCTTTAAAATTCACGGATACAAACGCTTTGAATCGCGATAAGGTGTGTATCGGGAATAATGGAAACACAGTGGGTCGGTTAATTGTCGAACCAAGAATTCTGGGAAGATTCTATTTTAACAACAGAAACTCATTTGATGAGAATTTCCAGGATGATACTTGAGAGTTTGTGTCAGGGAGTAACGTTAAGTGGTTAGAAAAGGGAATTTTCGTGTTCTTGGGTGCATAAGGTGTATATTGATGTAGTTTCAAGATTTTGAAAGTTGGTAACCTGCTCGTTTTAGCATGGTTTAGGGATAACTCAATTTTAAACTGTGCCGCCATCTAATGATTTTGGTACGTGTGATAATAGTTCTAGTGATTTTTATTGTTTGCCAAAAGGGAAGAAGAATCAGTGATAAATATGGAATTGATATTGATGTAATTGAGCTATGATCTTCATCTATGATTTAATTTTATAATTCTTTTTCGTATTGAAGAACTCTTAAGGATTTACCTTCTGCTGGTAACGCAGAGATCTTCTATTTATCTAGTGTTTTACAGATTTCTGTCGTATCAATGGGGAAAAGCATGGAAGTAGTTCGAAGAATTTACGCTAGAGGCGCAGAATATAGGAAGAAAGGTATGACGACCGATTTCGACATTACCAATTTTTATCAATATACAAAACTACATTTGAAATCGAAATTAATCACTGTTGAATAATCATCCAATATTTTAGAAACTATTTACACGTTATAAATTATTTAGAAACAGGTAAATAAAATAACTAGGACAATCTTCTTTTATTCCATATTTATTTATATACATTTACATTATACATATATTTAAAAACATGAAAAAAGATAAGATGATATATTATCTAAGATGTTCTATAGACTATATTCTATCTTATCTAACCTTAATACCTAAAAATAATTATACACCTAAGCTTGTCAACATCACAGCTTATACCAACGAATATACACTAATTAATAATAGAATATTTCATGTAACATCTAGGATGTACTGTCTAACGTCGCATAAGCTATGACTCAGTATCGCGCTTATTTTCTCGTTCGAACAGCTATGAATCGCTTGCGGGTGACATGTATGTAGCTGGCGACTTGTTTCTAAATCTAAGGTAATCTTCTCGTGAGATCGTTCAAAAGCACAGAACGCGTCGCCATGCATTGCAATCTAGAGTCGCGTGGCATGTCATCCGTAAGATACCTGTAGAGACGAGCTTCTGATATTTACAATTCTACAAAAGCCCGGATCTACAGGGTAGATCACGAATGTGCCTATCTTATGCCGCCGCACTTTTTTAAGGCCATTGTCTCCTCTAGGTAGAGAAATCTGCAACACAGAAGCTCAGTTTTTATTCGTACGTGGAAACCACGAGACAGAGGAATATAGAGTTAGCTTTAAACGCTCGTTTCCGATGGATCGTTGGGGATCGATAGCAAACACGATGTTTCCCATCGTTAAATTACGCTTTGGGCATTTTACACCGCGTCCAGTCATTAAATTACCATTCACTACCGCGGGAAGAATTATCCTCCAGTTTGAATACGAATCGAGCAACGGGTTGCAACAGCCGAGCGATAGTAATCGCGAATTAATTGCACGATACCGATTGCAAAGTGATCAAGCGTGCAACGACACCGAGCCGTACCGAGCATGACTGTATAAAGCCAGCGGGGATTAGAAATTTCGTCCTGGTCACCGTGTGTACGTGACGCCGGAAAACCTCCACTACTAAAATCGAACGTGACCTCGCATGCATATCCGGAATACGACTGAAGGAAGTCGTGAATTAATACTGTCCCTCCCCCCCCCCCCCCAGGACACGACAGTTGCGATTCTGAAATTTTTTCGATTAATTCTTTACTTTACCGGGATACGCTTTTGTTCGATGGATTATAAACTTGGTTCTATTGTATTATAAATTGTAGATGATGATCACGAACACGTTAATGTAGTGCAAACGTTAATCGACTAATAGAGGACCAATAGTCGTGTTTCCTCTTTCATTTACTTCCAACGACGTGAGACAAACAAAATGAAAAAAAGAGGTCACACGGTGTTGAATTCCGTGCGATTACGAGTAGAAGAAAAAGTGTGAATGCATGCCAGATGCCAGATTTCTCAACTCTGCGTGTCATCGATATATTTTGTAGAAAGGGAATGAAATTTCTGTTAATAAGAAATTGTGAATAATCGACGATTAATAATTACAAATTGAAGGACACGAGACATTGCATACTCGTGATCGTTCGCGCGAGCAACAGGCGGAGAAAACAGTGCTCGCATGCATCGCAGGTGTTCAACAAGCAAAGAAACAAGCACAACAAGCTAGAGGCCTAAAACGGCTCGATTTCACGAAATACCAACGAGTGACGATAACGCAGATGCGCGCGCGCGCGCGCGCGTACCAGCGCTCGCGGCTCCACGTTCGTAGAATCGAGGTCAAAGTATCGACATGCTGGGAATACGATTAGAAAAGTGAAACCGTAGACACGATCGCCATTCCAAACGTGAAACAAATTGTTAACGGATCTACGCACGTGCACGCGTGGCTCTTTACCAACCCCCACCAAGATTCACGTGACAAATAAAGTTCATGCAAAAGAAGCACACAAAATTGCAAAATTGCAAATCCTTAGAAATACCGAGCCAAAGAGAGTCCAAGTGACAATCATCATGCACACGTTCATCCCCCGACAATATCGTACATCGACATACACAAAGTAACAATTCTCACAGACATTAACGGACATAGACGGAGTAACTACAACAACCGGCGAGTAGACTCGGCCACGCAGACTTGCAAGAAAAAAAGGACGATTTCCTCAACTCACATCCCTTCGTTCAGCATCGCGCGTGCACATGCACATCCTGTGGACCCGCGCGTGCACGGGCTCTCATCTCACTGTGCCGCCTGTGCGTCACTCGCAGCCTCGGTTTCGGTCACCGATCGTCGCGCGGTTCGCGCGGTTTTCCCCAAGCGTGCGAAAGAGTCGCGCCGCGAGAGACGAAAGCGCGTAAGGGGCCAACGCCCTTCGAAACGAAACGCAACGGCCGACTGTCCTTTTTGGCCCCCGAAGCGGAGAAGGCATTCGGCGACAAGCCGCGAATCCTTGAGTCGCGGGGCGTCTCTCCCACGGCTGCCCGGCCGAAGCCAGGAGCATCCCCCGGATTCTGCGATGATTGGACCGCGCGCACCCTCTCCCCACTCGTGGCCAGGGGGATGCCACCGCACAGGACCGTGCCCGACCGACCAGGTGCCACTCGGCAAAACCCCCGAAATTTCGGGTATTGATATCGCATTATTCGACGCGCGCCCGACCTTCTTTTTTTCCCTCTCTCTCTCTCTCTCTTTCTCTTCTCTTTCCGTCAATGACGCGGATGTTCCACCGTGCGAGTGGAAACATTCGAGAGAGGGTGTGTGGATGCTTGCTGGGAAAAATGGGGTGGGATAATTTGTGGACGAGGAGGAGGAGGGGGAGAGGGGGAGGGGGAGGGCAGAGGTAATTGGCTTCGGGGAGATGATGGGTTGATTGTTGAGAGTAAAAGGGACAAATGAGCCCTGAAATGTAATGGATAATGCTTGGCTATGCTTCATTCGGTGAAGCATGAGAGGCGAAATTGAAATAAACGACATTTTAGGAGAGACTGAAGCAGTTTGTTTTGTAATCCGTGGTTAAATGTCTTGGGACGAGTGCTGCGTCTGTTGCGAAACTGGAAAGAATCAAATTATAGGTACGACAAGGAATCTGTAAACCGTTAATGCATTATAAAATTTCTTACCTTATAGATAGATACTGAATTGAGAAGTATCCTAAAACTTTTGAACGAGAGTGTACGTAGCTTTGAGTATTTGAGATACTTGAAGAGATATTTGAAGAAAATGTAAGTTTAGATATTTTATTGTTAGTGAATGATGTTAACTACGTTTTATTTGATGTCTACACTGTGTGAAAAATGGATGGTATTTAAAATAAATATTTTTTGATAAGCTAGAGAAAGATCTAGTTTTATGTATGTAATTAACTGAATATTCCAGATACTTTATCACGAATGGACCATGTTAATTACGTTTTACTTAATACAGTACTTGCAACATGTTTAATAAAATAGACTACGACCAGAGAAAAATATTATTTTCTGAAGAAAATATGTACGTTGGAGTCACTGGGTGCCACATGTATCGAGTAACACACGGTGTATTAGTGATTAGGTGTACGGAATTTCTCTTATGAAATTCTCGCGCTGAAATTCATGCATTATGTACGCGACGTGAGGGTGAAGGAAGTTTATGTGGTTCTGTATTCAGAGGAAGGGGCTCCGAACAATTTCATCGTTTATATGACGAATCGACGTCGGAGTACACTCGTATGTCATCGGCATTGCTAAACGATTGAGTATTTTGCGGCTCGTCTTTTATCAGCAGATTCCACTCTATTATTCTGTTTCCTCTGGAAACCCTGTAGCAACTTCATTAACACGTAAAACGTCGATTTCGATTTTCAACAATTTCTACTCCTGAACCGTGCATTTATAAATCCACAAGTAAAAGAAGAGGAATATTTATCGACATATGAAAATGCCTTTGTATCTGTAAATATTGGAATTACATGTTAAAATATATTCGGCTTTGCAACAGGATTAAAATCAATCGCAAACATCAAAATATGATCCTTACATGCGAGACGAGATATCATAAAGTGACGAATCTTAAACTTCAAAAATATACAAAAAAAAGCACAACAAAATCGAACGTTTCGTAGATTGACACGTGTAATTTATCCTCTCTTGAAATTCTCGAAACGATTCTATGAAACTGAAGGCGGCATTGAAGAAAGAATCGAGGGAAAGGAAAGAACAGAAGTGACGAAGAAGCTGGAGGAAATGGAAAAAACGTCGGGAAACATAGAGCATAAGGAATTTTCCCGAAAGTTGTGCAGTAGCGTAATCGCGAATGGATACAGCCCTGAGGTCGTTCCAGCTCGGCCGAAATCGTGCAGTCTCGGCCTCGAATCCCTGTCAACCGGATCACCGACTAGAGAGAGAGGGTAAAAGGCAGGGGCCACCCTTCGTCTCATCATCTTTTCGCGCTCATAGCCGGGCATATCTGCTTGGAGCCAGGCCTGTGCTCTCCTCTTCTCGGAGGAATCGCCTGGAAAAGTTCCGTTTTCCCTCGACCTACCGTCTCCCTCTCCCTCCCTCCCGGCCCCTCTTCTGTCGCCACCCTGCCACCCCCTTCTCTCTCACTGACACAAAGTTCTCCCAATAACGCAGCCTGCCTCCGTTCCTTCTCCGTTCTGGAGCGACGTATTGATCGTCTCTCCGCTCTCCTGAAGCAACGCGCCGAGGAGCCTGACATCCGCGGAGGGAAAACGAAGAATGGGAGAGAACGTGTCTACAGAGAAAGAGAGAGTGATGAGAAGAGAGGGGGGGGGGGGGATTGTCCTGGCGAAACTGGCTCTGTACAGGCGTATCTTTGCCGAAATTGCCATCGGGGCAGGGAAAGAAAGAAAGAAGAAAAAAGAAAATAGAGAACCGACACGGGGGAATGGAAACGGTCACGTCGTCGAGTGGTACGCGTGCAAAAAAGACTGAGGCCATCTGATGGTCCGAGAGCGAGTTCACGGAGAGGATGGAATTTAAGATTTGATTAAAGTCGAGAGATTATGGCACAATGTTTGGGTTAGGTTGCAGGCTGGTTTGAAAGAAATTACAATCTGAATTTGTTATTAATTACTCGGTATTATTGGTTTGCTAGGAGTTATAATAATTTAATAGATAGATCGTGGATAGATCTGGGAATTTATCACGTAATCTGATTTTATTACTAGAGTAGATTTACGACAGAGCTGAAGAAACAGAAATTAAACAGAGATTCTCGTTTGTACTTACAAAGAATTTTGGTTTTGATTTTCAGCATACTTCTTTGTACGAGTTTGAGTAGTATCCCATCTTTTAACGTTTGAAAATATTAAATCACCGAAATGGCGAAATGTAAGAATTAAAAATTGTACATATATATAAGGAACGGACGTAAAGAATCAAACTTTCTTCGAAGATCAATTCTTTCGAGTAACGTGGTACACAGTACGAAAAAATACGAAAGGATCACCGAAACGTTGTACGATTTTGGCAAAGTAATTTCCAACAATCGATATCCATCATGAACTTAAACTCTTTTATCGGATGATCACCATTAACCTCGTAATTAATACTGACTACCTTCCATAAATCACTTTCGCGCGCTTTTCCATCATCGTGCCCACTCGAATGAAAATAAAAATTCAATCCCCGCGCGGGAACAACCGATACCATGTACCTGTACTGTCGATAGACAGCGCGGACTGTCACAAATATTCGACGGACGGTGAAAAACAAGTGGTCGGGAACAGGAAAGCCGATAAGCCTTGGGACGACTTAACTCGATAAATTGGCGACGTGTCGTTCGCGACGGCGTAACTTCATCCTCGTATCATACGTCACTCAACCAACATTCTGCCTGTCGTCCTCTACTCACGTGCGATGCGTCTTCCCCAAGTTTACCCACGTATCGTTGCTTACGAGCCTCCGTGACGAACTTCTCTCTCTCTCTCTCTCTCTCTTTCTCTCTCTAACTTCCTCCTTGCACACCGGAAACGTAGAAGACACATTCTTTCAGCTTCGCATTGTCCCATCGCATTTGGCGAAGAGAGAAATGTCTCCTGAAACATGACGAGTAAATCATGTTCTCTTAATTCTTTGTCAAGCTGAAGTTAATTGGCTAATAATTAACATTCAATATTTGATATTTAATATTTTATATCTATAGTATATAGGCATGGATTGTGATTTTGCTACGATAGAAATTGAACTCAATATTTTGTTTGATTATTAAACACAGATTACGTATTATTACGATTTCTCTGTATAAAAGTATTGAAAGTAAATATTAACGAATTAAAAGTTATTAGTTTGACAAGGATTTTCCATTACGTTTAATAATTAATATTGTAAGAATTTCTTAACAAGCTTAACGAAATTCTAAAATTCGCGTTAAATGAATGAAATTTATACAGAATACACGGAAGATGAATTGAATTTGTGAACGCAATCAGGTCACCATTAAACACACAAAACATAGAAGAATTAGACAGAAGAATTCCCTAAACGTGAGAATCATTTTAATTTAAACACATGTTTAAAAAACCGTGAGAAGAAAATTTACACAGATTACTCGTTCACGTGTGTCTACGTTCGAAATAAAATCGGAGGAGTAACCAAGCAATTTTCGGCGGCCATGTTTCAACGAGAAGCCGGCGAAGATACGTTGGAGAGGAGGCACTGGATGCATTATACATTAACGCAGCTCGGCTGAAATTACGATCGGTTTATGGCCAACAAAAATATGTAGAATATAGAACGAACGCAGGAAGCACGGGGAAAATGTGGCCCGACCGACGTCTCCTGTTCCCAGACGTCGTTTACGACCGGCCTGTATCCCTGGTTAACGCACCGACTACATATTTATTGATTAATTCACGCCAGCTCATCAGGATACAGCGCAATTTCGACGTGGCCGACAAATAACGGAGGATCGTCAGCAAAATGAAAACCTCGGGAACGAAGATCGAGCGCGTCTGTTCTGTTCGAGAGATGTGAAATTCGTTTTGCTTCGAACGTGTCTCGTTGTCAATGATTGAAGAAAAATGTAGGATAACAATGGACGTTGGATTTAACACATATATAGAATTTTACAGTTTTGTTTTACGAATTATTCAAGTTCTACAGTTGCTCAACAAATGCACTATTTACAAAAGTTATATCGCGTCTAATACAGGACATAGGATTTTGGAATTTTTTTTTATTAATTAATTCATATCCGAATTAAATTAGCAAAGATGTGGAGTATTAAAATTATGCAGCGAAGAAGTATTAATAAAATTGTAATAATGCAGATAAATTTTTTAATACAGACGAAGAATTGATGCAGATGGAGAAGATTAAAATTTTATTTTAAAAAATCAAACTCAATAAAGAGCACGTAGAGTAAGTTGAGATTATTTGCGTGGAAGAGCTAAAAAATCCTTTTAGACGAAACGTATCAAAAAAATATATCTCGAAATAAAAATTTACCTGTTGTCAAAAATTTTCTCTCTACCCAAAGATTTTCTTCTCTCGGAAGATCTCGAAATCATCCGTTTTGAAGCTTTTCTGAAAAGACTCTGGGCGCCAGACTGGTGGGCGAACGCACATCGAATTCCATTTTCTGGCACGAAGATATCTTCGAATTTGATCGACGATTACATGGATGTAGGAAGAGGGAACGACGTCCACGCTATTTCCGCCGATCTTTGCTCAGAGACGCGATGCTTGGAAGAGGTGCTGTCTTCGACTGGCATCGGGTATCGTATATCGTGGAATGCTTGAAGAAGGAAGGAACGTCCGGGCTGCGTGTCTTGAATAATAAATCCCGATCGCCGGTCGATTTCCTTTTTCATACACCGGCCAACACCGCGATTCGCATTCGTGGCTCGCCACCTTTTTGAATCTCGGATCGAGTGCGCCATAAAAGAATCGGGCTCGCTTCCCGTCGCGTCGCCTCACTCCTTCGCGATCGATGGATCCGTTCTTCAATGGATTATGTCATCGATGATATTCGAATCCACTGTAAACTCTCTCCTTCCGATCGACGATCAGAAGGTAATTCTGGAAATTTTAGAAAACACGCTGTTAAATTATTCATTTGGGTAGTTGGGATTAATTAATGTGTCGGTGGAGAATCAGTTAGTGTACGAGTTTCTCAAGAAACTGATCCACTTTATTTTTCATTTGTTTATTTTCGAAATTAAGAAATTTATTTATAATGGAAAGAAAATGACACAAGTAATGGTGAAACATAATGTACATAGCATCATTACTTTCCTGCTGTTTTCAATATGATTCGTCATATCCTCTACAAATTAAATTAGTTTTGATTTAAATTCAGCGTCGAGAAAGGGACAAAGAAACTTTTAAATTCCACGGAAGAAATTTTGTCGAACAAAAGCTTAAATCTACGCTTAGAAGAAAGAAGTAAGAGAGAGGAGAAGAGAGATTGGAAGAACACTTCCACGTTGAAAATTCGCCTGAGACCTCCGTAATAGATGTACTGGTCGTTTTGAAACGCGCGGTATCCAGGCCGAAAAAGAAGAAATCGAGCACTCGGCCGATAATTCAACGGGGAGCAAACAAATTGCGCGCGGGCAGCTTCGAATAAAACACAAGTCGGTTGCAGCGGAAGCTTAAACGACTAGGCTAATGTTATTGAAATGAAGCCGAAAGCCCCACGGTTGGGCGGGTTAGAATTTCTCTCGCTGACAAGGAATCGCGATGCCGCCCTCTTCTGGGCAAAATTCAGTCTTCCTGGCCGTTCTCCCCGGTTTGAAAAATACCCTCCGCCGCGAATTCAATTGCACTGCCGAAAGCGTGGATTATACTAACTGCGCCCTGTTTAACCGCGTCGATGTTTTCATTCGAAGATTCGGAAGACGCTGATCGACGAACATTACAATGATTCAGAGCGCGAGTGATTTATTATTGAATTTAAATATCTACTAACTAATTAAGTTCAAGTATATTAAATTTCGTATAGTTTATCGAGGCAGGGGTGTAAAAATTATGGGAATGAAACGTAATTGTAAAAGAAAATAATAATTCAGTAATTCTTACTAAAGAGTTACTTGTGTCGTTAAATCAATATCTTGTAAGATGATTAAACAAATGTAAAACGATTAAACTAAATATAAAATGCTCACAATTCAGAAAAGAAAGAACTCTAAATATATTGCAAATGTTTCCGGACTCGTAATCGTACTTGTTGCACGGTCGAGTTTTGACAAGTGTTCGAATAACGAGAGTGTATGATTATATCAGATAAACTCCTCAAAACTCTGCAGCGAAACATCATCTTTCGTACAAATATAGTAGATATGTGCCAATATCAATATCAAATAATATCACCAAATTCTATATATTATTGTAATATCGTAGATCATTATCGTAGGTCGTTATTAAATTATAATTTGTAGTTGTAGTTCTTATATCTTTAGTCAATTATACTAGATGGCCTATAACATTTGCTGATCGTAGGAATGCATGAAAGGAAAGAAAGTATAAATGTGGTGTGGCGCGTTTTTCTTTTTGAAAAAAGGAGAAAGTCGAGCGAGTGGAAAAACAGAGTCGATTTGAGTTGTGAAAAAGCGTCGATTGAGTCGTGAAAAAAAAGTTAATTATAAAGAGTTTATTTGAGTTACGACCGCGTGTGTTAGCTGTTAATCCGAGTTCATTGTTTGATATTATCTATTGTTTAATCACCAGCATTGTTATTAAATATATATTTATATTTAATTTCTACATTATAAAGAGAAAAATTTCCAAAGACCATTTGAAACGACGAAAACCGCAAAAAAAAGGAAACAAGCTCAAAGAACTCAAAGAAATCAAATTCAAATTCAAACCAGCTCCCGTCAAGTTCAGGTCTCGATATCGAGTATTTTTCCCGCTCGCAGCTGACCAGTTAATCGGAATTTTCGCGAGCGAGCGGCCGCGCGGCCAGTTGCATTAAGCGGGACCATAAATCATGGTCGTGCAGAAGAATGGAGGGAAGTTGGAATCTGAGTGACGTCTAGTCAGAGAGCTCCTTGTCGTCGCGTACCTAGTGTCCAAGCATTCGCGAACGGTCACGAAGAGGAGAATGAGGGAGGTTCAGAGGGAACGCGGAGGGTTCCAACCTCGAAGGACGTTGACGTGGGTCCCGCGGGCATTTTTGCGGACCAAAGGTTCACCCTATCTCGAATCCAACGTAACAGGGGATTCCGCTTTCCCGCCGTTCTCCCTATTCCATCCTTTTGTCCTCCATTTTTCCCTGTTTCCCCCGTACGTTCTCACCGGAGTGACGCTCGCGTCCCTTATTTCGCGGCCTCGATTCGAGGACCTAATATCGCGCGACGCACGTCGAGATGGAAAGCGCAGAATTGTTGATGGACGACGATTTGAAACGTACAAAGAGAGAGGACGAGAGTAGAAGATGTGAATATCGTGAATTTCATATTTAAAGATGTCGTATGAAAAATGCAGAGATCTGAAAAATTTATAATTTGATAATTTGATTCGTTGAAAAATTCGTTGATAATCTCGAGAATTTGGAAACTAGGCACACGAGGAATTAAAAAATTTAATATTCAACGAGTTAAAAAAATCCATAAACTGAATTATTGAACAATTTACAGTGTCAACAGTTTAAAATTTAAATTCCTCTAGTCTCCTCTTCTATTTATTACGAGTAACAATGCAAACGTAAACGAAACAATTTCTCCGAAAGTAATCTCAAAAACGTAAAAAATCGCAAATCCGAAGAAGAGAGACTCACACAGCGGAAGGTTCATTTCCACCCTTGGAAAAGTATTTCCGTCGACGAAATGATCTCGTACAGACGTCGGAAGAGCAACAATATTGAGGCTCGATAATGCTGGCTGGGAGACGCGGAGATGTTACGAAAGAAGACGATCATTTGTCAGAGTGAAGTGGACGCGAAACGCGAAATCGTTATCGCGTCGCTTTCTCTCCTGGTAATCTATCGCGTGTTCTTCGACGGAAAGAGAATCTCTGCCGAAAACGAAACTGACAATACGAATTCGCGCGTCAGCCGGGAAAGATTTCCGAAAGGTGATGAATCTTTTACTGGGCGTGTCTCTCGTCACGTTCGTCACATCTCTCGCCCTGTCAGATCTACTCTTACTCTACAAATATCGAGAGAAACCGTGGCTTTCTTATTTTCGTCAATAATTTGACGAGCTCTCGACTTCTCGACGATACTCAATCGAGATTTTCCGTTTGATAGGACGGTTGTTTATAAATCAATGCGATTTACAAGCGATGCGATCTTGCAGCTTGTTTATACCGAGTTCGAAACTAATTTAATAAAGGCTATTCACGCGGAAAGTTTGAGAGAGCGTGGGTAGCGTGCGATTTTAATTAAAAAACTGGATGTTCGTCCTGGGACGAAGAGCGGGAGGGGGGGGGGTGGAAGCAGCGCCGAGAGAAGGGAGAATATCTGTTTCGCCACACCGTTGCCAGATCTCGTGATGTTTCAGATTAAAGCGAGTAATAATTTTTTGACAATTAACCACCGTGACGATCATCGAAATTTCTTGACTAAAGTTCGTCCAACGATCTAGATTAGAAGTAGAAACGAAATAAGTGATCTTCGTCTATTTCAACCTATCAATCGGAAGCTTGATATCGAATGTTTAAATTAGATACGCGCACATACGATCAGCGAATCAAACTAGTCAGCATGATAATCTTCAAATTCTTGATCGAAACTCTTCGAGAGAGAGAGAGAGAGAGAGAGAGAGAGAGAGAGAGAGAGAAATAGATCAGACTGCAAAGTGCATTTTATCATTTCAATTAGACATCGAATATTTAAATTCGAGAATTCGTAAACATCGGAGAACCAATCAGCGCGATCAATGAATCAACCTATAATTACTAGAATCTCAAGATAGTACGCAGAATGAAAAATAGAGCCGGTACGTTCAACACGCCACTCCATCACCAACGAATTCATTTATCCATCAGGCAACCGGTTAAAGAGACAAACAGAAACCGCGACGTGTATGCGTGTGTTAAACGCCGCTGTTAAAAAATAACTTCATCAAACAACCTCTAGGTACAAAGGGTGGGGGGGGGGGGGAGTGGGGAGAAGAAAAAAGAAAGAGAAAATGACAAATCTGCGGCATGACGAAAGGCAATGAAAAAAAACCAGATTAATTTCATGCGCCGGGCTAAGCTTCCGCGATCGTTCGATTTTCGACAAGCATCCCAGGATCGCCGAGTGCGGGCGGTGCACTCTCCGTCACCGACAAATTCATTTATCGTAGCCCCGGTTGCAAAAAAAGGATAAATAAAAACCGTGATATATCTCGTACACATCTAACCACTCCCTGTTATTTACATATTCTTTACATATCCGGACGCACGTGTATGAGATTCACGTAGGCGGCACGTAGCCGGTGTCTCCGTGTCCGTGCGTTTATATACACGCATACGCACACGATGTGCAAATATGTATACAGGCAAAGTGTACGTACACGAATAGATGTGTACATGTGAGAGGTACACGAATACGGGAAAGGTAGGTAGCTCTCTGTAAGTAGCTAAGCAGAAAGTGGTACATAGGTATAGGCGGAGACGAGGGGTTGGCAGGCAGTCCAAAGCATCGAAAGGGGGTTGGAACGTGGTGGCAGTTGGTGGAAAAAGGGGGAAGGGGAAGTTGCGATTCCATCTGCCAGCCTGTCATTCTGATACTACGTAGAATGTCGGCTGTTGGCGGAGACGAT